AATGCTAAATTATCTTACAAAATAAGATGAATAAATTGCCCAATAAATATATTTAATGTACTAAATCACACATCCAATTGTCAAATATACTTAACCATTAATTCAATAATTTTAATCAACGTGTTTGGGATTATTTTTTGACAGTGGTGATTAACAATAATAATTATTTTAAAAAATATTAAGACGCATTATTATTTTTTTTTTAATTTTATAAATTAATTTAATTTATTTTTAAGATTACAAAATAGTTTACATTTTATAAAACCAAAAACAAAACAAAAAAAACTAAAAGTGACCCTAAATAAGTCCTAATTTTTTTATTAAAATGAAATATAACAAATTATATTATAGTTATTTAAATAATAATGACTAATTTTAGGCTCTCCAATTGCAAGAAAGTCAAGTACATGTGATTGCCAATCACTTTCATTTATAATTATTAATTTACATATTATACTTAAACCCCTAATTAGTAATTTACTTATAGATGAGTATAATGAATGATTAAAATTTTAATTTTTATATTATACTTATTCAAAAACTAAAAAAAAAAAAATCATTCTAATTAAGTAAAAAATCTTCAATCAAAAGTCAAAATGAATAAGTCTAAGAAAAAAAAAGAAAATTTTATACAAATTACATGTTTACAGCTAAGATGAAAAAGTCTTCTCTAACATCATTAAAAGATATTGGTCAAAGCTAATCATTGAACACAAATCCTCCTTATCTAACAGTATTGATGTGTGAAAAAATCTTCAATCAAAAGTCAAAATGAATAAGTCTAAGAAAAAAAAAGAAAATTTTATATAAATTACATGTTTACAGCTAAGATGAAAAAGTCTTCTCTAACATCATTAAAAGATATTGGTCAAAGCTAATCATTGAACACAAATCCTCCTTATCTAACAGTATTGATGTGTGAAGCAATAATATTAAATGATTTTTTTTTTCTATTTTCATTTTTCATTTTCTCCATAAAAATAAATTAAAATAGACAAAAAATAAATAAAAAATATCAACAAAGCTTGTTTTTTTCCACTAATATCAATCAAACAACAAAGGTGTAAAACCTTTGTAGATTTGCTGATCAATGGCCAATGCAATAAAAAAAGGCCATATTATTTTTTAAAATAAAAAATAAAGCTAATCAAATAATTTCATCAACAGTTTGTTTGGGACAGCTTTCTTATTACTTTTTAGTAAAAAAAAAAAATTTTGAGTTAAAAATATTTGCATTAGAAAAATACTTTAAAAAGCGATAACAAAGCTTTTCCAAACAAAACCTTAGTGTTTTATTTAAGAGATCAAAATGAATCACTAAACATTTCAGAAACTGATGAACTCACTGCAAATATGCTAATAAAGATTGACAAAAGCAGAAGACATAAAGAGGGGTTAAGAACCCATCAATTCAATCATGGAAAGGATTACAAATGTCAAAAAGAATCAGTGACTTCTGGCACCAAAAGACAGCAGTTTTTGATTGTTTGTATCAATATTAATTATTTCTCAAGCAGGTTGAAAATCTCAAACCATTGAAAAAGCCTAAGAAAAGACAAATATAACGGTCTAATTTTTACCAGGTTGGACCAAAAATAAGATCTCATGGCGACTTCATAACTGGGAAATGCCTCTTAATCTGCAAGACCACGCTGCTTGAAAATGTCAAGCATGGCTGCACCTATCTTGGCTGGGGATTCAACTACTGTTACTCCTGCTTCTCTGAGAGTTTTGATCTTGTCCTGGGCAGTGCCCTTCCCACCAGACACAATAGCTGCAAGAAATCAAGCAAATACATGATGAATAGTTGAGTGTGGTGCAGAAAGCAACTTTAGCATCTACTTGAGGATTAATTATTCTGTGCGGATATCGGACGGCGCCTGGAGACGAATCAAAGCGCACCACATCACTTTTTTGCTGTGTAACGGGTGACGTGGCGTGCTCTCATTCATCTCCAGACAGTTTGCAGTCCGCACAGAATAATTCCTCCTACTTGGGATAGTTTTATGTATGATCAAATCTACTAGAATGTTGTAGCTATTAAAAAGTTGATGTCATATTTTTTATAATATTTTTTTAAAAAAAATATTTTATCCATAACAAGTCTACGACAGGTTTTACAAACAGTTAAGAGTCACAAAGTAGAAACAAAATTGGGATAGGAAACATCATATTTTTATCCAGGAATAAATTAATTTTAATGGTAGTCAAACTTGCAAAATTTGTATTTGAGATTTGTAACCTTCAGATTCCTAAATGGCGACTACTGTTGAATGTACTTTGTCCCCCTCCAATGGTGGAACCAATAATTCAAATGAGGGGAGTGAAAGAGTATATACTATATACGAAATTTAAGGGGTGCATACATTTCATAATTTGCATAATTGTAGAAGGATTTAAAGGAAAAAATTTCATGCCATACAAGGCTATCTAAGGGGAAAAATTATTCTGTGTGGATGTTGAACGTCATCCGGAGACCAACCAGAATGCGTCACATCACCCCTTCGTTTGGTATTGCGGCTCAGTATTATTCAGTACAGTGGCTCGATACCGCTGAAATGGCTGCACCTAATTCGCCTCCAAACGTAGAGTTCCGTCTGGCGTCCGCACAGAATAATTTCTCACCTGAGGCTAGACACCGCATCACTTCCTGGGTTGCACCCCCACAATATATCACTTAAGCATCCATGAATCTTATCATCCTAGCACACATTTCAAAGGGGCACTCGTATGTCTTCCAAAATTCAAGGAACATGATATTCCATGGACTTAAGTTGTAAGAAGTTTGTTGTACCAAAATAAAAACCTTAGAAAATTTATAAGATCGTATAAATGTTATCATATAACTAGCTTTTTTACCATCACGACTGGAGAATAATTCTTTTCTCAATAAACAAAAATGAAAGGCTTTCTTTTATCCTTGTTACTTTTTTTTTATTAAGGCTTCATTTGAGATGGCTTTCATACTGCATTTTAAAATGGTTTTCTAATACAAAAATTTCAACTATAAGAAATTTTTATATTAAAAAGTTTTTTTAGAAAGCAAGAAGTAAGCCGTCCCAAACGGAGCCTAAGACTTGCAGGATAAGCAAAAGACAAAGTACAAGATGACAAAATCAACTTATCAGTTCACAAACCTCCGGCATGGCCCATTCTTCGTCCTGGAGGTGCAGTAAGCCCGGCAATGAATGCAACAACAGGTTTTTCCGTCTTGCTTTCCTGTTTAATTAGGAAGGAAAACACAAATACAAACAGTTCAGGAAGGAACAAGGAAGCACTGGCATTACAAAAGCCGGAAGTAAAGCAATAATTTTCCCTAGCCAACAAAAAATCATTCACATTCAGACAAAAACTATAATTAAATGAAAAGAGAATTAAATGAGCTCGGCTTAGCTAAAACAATGGAATGAGTTGATAGATAAATCTGTGTTTGTTTTTTCTGAAACCGAACAGTCCCCTCAAGAATGTATTTAAGAGGACAAAAAGACTAATTATTCTTCAATATGCCTCGTAAGATCTCCATACAAACAATTACTTAAAGCTTTAAAAATATTAAAGAAGATCACTCAAAATAGAAGAAAACAAACAGACAGCCAGAGCCATGAAAAGAAAAGATAAGAAGAAGCCGCAAAACATAAAGAACTGACTGTGCTAGGCAATCAAGGAGGATGAACTGAACAAACAATGGCAGAACTTTCACTTGACAACAAAATAAGTCTCAAAATTGATATTATTGATAACAACGAAGAGGAAGCACACAAAATCATGAAGTTAGAAAGGACATAATGATTGAGAAAAATAAACTTCAGGAGAAACATTGCTTAATGTTGTCACTGGCCATAGTTATAAACATATTTTCAGGAGAAACAAACTATCCCGCAAAATTTGATTACTACAATGGTTTAATGAAATCATCTAATTCAGATGAGGTTTTGCAAAGCTCTATAGGATGAAATAGGAAGGCATGATGATGCAAAGGTTAAAATTTATAGAAATGTAAGATGTGAGAGTTAAGAAAAGTGTATTGACATTCTAAGTTTTGATGTTACTATAATTGCTTTATCATACTTTTGAATTAACAGAAGCTTCTTTTTGGTCTATGATGATAATTCTTGTATTGAAAGAATAGTATTCTCAACTATTTTAGTAACCTTCTTAAAGCAATTATAGTAACAAAGCCAAAGAGAGATTCTTGCAAGATGATGCAAGGGTTACAAATATTGAAAGAGTAGCTCTATAGGATGATATTCTTAATGCTTCTTAAAGAAGTTTTCTAGTATAAAAAATTTAATTTTTGTACTAAAAAGTTACTTTAAGAAGCAGTAATAAAGCCATCCCAAACAAAACCAAAGAGAACCAGGATCAGAAGCAACAATCCCTGAATAAAGACACATAAATTTGATCCATATTCAAGCCATCATATGGTATTCCATAATAGCTGACCTTTATCAAAGCCGCGGCATCTTCTTCGGCAGTTCCTCCAATTTCTCCAATAAGAACAATACCTTAAAACAGAACAAATAAAATTCATGAAAATAAGCACCATCAACCATAAACTATAACATAGCATTTTGCCATTTTCCATATCAAATATTTACTCCACAGTGAATCATGAAAAAAATATCAATGATACATTGTATAACTAAAGGGAAATACATGAGAAGTACTAATATGATAAAGATACTATTATTTTTGTCACAAGAAAAATGCAAGGGCAAAGGAAATTTTTTGGCCCCACCACTAATTGCCTAATAAGAACATATGATGATATAATAAACAAAAATCAAGCATAAGCAATGAAAATTCACATAGCATAGTTTAGAGGCTATTAATTTACACAATTACTCATCTCTTATGTTGAAAGTTAGAAATACACAAAATTTGCAATAAATGACAATTTAATGGATGGCCCAAATAAAAAATTAGCATAGAAATTCGAGATTAATAACACAACAAGTCACTCAGAAATCACACCACGGTTAAAAATCCAAATTGCAAGAGTTTGACGAAATCCAATCATACAAAAAGACAAAACTAAATGAAGAACACAAAATATCAATGAAAGAAATCTTTCAATGTTAATCCAAACCTCACGTTGGTACAATGAGATGGCTTCTCCCAGAATTTGGTAGGCACCATTTGCACCACACTATAAGGATTTGCATGCAACTAGAACCAACGCACAAAGACGAAAATTATTATTAAAAAACTATCTTTAAATATCTCAGTTATCCCTTATTTATAATCATAGAAACCCTTTTCAAATAATAAAAAAAGAATAAGGTAGCTGTCTCCAAAGTCAAAACCATAAGAAATTGTTGAAATCTACAAAGAGATTGCAGCCAGGGTAGCATCAGATAATAGCAGCTACAATACAAACCGCAATATCGACACAGTCAAGTACAGAAATAGAATCAGTAGTCACAACCTAAGCTACCAAATGCAAAAATTACTAGTCACACGGGCAATGCTGCAATTCACTCAGGCAAGAAGGAACCAGCAAATCCTAAAGGAATTCAATATCAACAAGCATAAAGAAGTCCAGCAAAGGTTAAGTAAAAAAGTAGCCCCATCAAAATTGTGTCTAAATAAATTCACAGCCAAAATAAAGATCAAAACAGCAACAAATAAAGACTAAACGAATCCCAAAACAAGCAACCGAACTGAAGAAAACCGGTACATAAACCAAAAGCCTAGAGGAAAGAATTGCTCAAAACATTTTGAGACCCGTTATTGTAGAGATTATAAGTAATTTTAAAAATCAAGGAAACTACTAGCATAGGATCAACAAAAGTAAAATCAAACGTAAGAATGTCGATTTGCACCATTATTATAAATTGGAATGGAGTAGAAAAGACGAGCACAAAATTTTCTGCGTACAAAGCAAAATTCCATATAAAAAATTGCACTCAATGTAAAATTCCAACAGTAGCCTAACAAAAGTATCAAATAATGAAAAGGCTATCATCCACCATTAAAGATAAAAAGTTATGATTTAGCTTTTAAAAAAAGAAGGTGCAGCAAATGATATAATTTTTCTATAGCGTCAAATAGCTTACCTTCGGTCTGAGGATCTGGTAAAAATCTTTTAATACAATCGACAAAATTCGTTCCATTGAAGGGATCACCGCCAATGCCAACACAGGTTGATTGTCCCAAGCCAACAGCAGTTGTTTGAAAAACCTGATAGGTTATAAGAGTTACACTCATATTCCATAAATCTAAAGCTGCAAGAATTTATTCCATTCATACCGCTTCATAGGTCAAAGTACCCGATCGTGAAACGATTCCAATACGTCCTGGCTTATGGATATAACCAGGCATGATTCCAATCTTACATTCTCCAGGTTTGATAATACCAGGACAGTTTGGTCCAATAAGTCGAGTTTTTGATTGCTTGTTTAGAGCAGCTTTCACTCGAACCTACCTTAACAAAGTCTCATTAGAAAACATTAATAGAAGAATAATACAGTTTAGGTACAATTAACACGGAATCCTTAAATCCTAAAATGAGGTGATAAAAAATAAGATCATGAAATTGTACATTCCTACACTTTGGAATTACAAGTAGACCTTTTCCAATCTTACAATCGTACCAGAAAAGTTATTTCATCAAGGAATTAAGTAATTAACTGATTGACATCATAGTGCCATGCATTTCTTGAAACCAGCCAAAAAGTATCACAAATAGACTAGCAGGAATTAACATTATAATGACTGAAGAAACATTACTTAAAATTATGTCTTAATCAATATCATACACAAGTATCTTGAATTTTCTATGGAAAAAAACTAGAGCACCATAATAAAATCAAGCAAGCAAGCAAGCATCTTATGAAAAAGAAGAGTTAGGGTTTCTCTTACAAATAGTATAGGTTAATTAGTATTCCCCAATCAAAAAAAGAAAAATAAAGATGGCCTTGAGAAAGAAGTTCCTACGCATGTCACTGCATTATGAATGACTACTAGATAGTATTTTCAAGTGTTGCATAGCAAATTCTTGAATATGTAGCTTGTTCTGTGGCAAGAAGAACAACAGAAATGTTGAACCATATGAAAAATATCAAAATATAATTGATGCTCAAATAAAAATTTTACACTAAAAATAACAATACCAAACAATTGAGACAAAATTATAAGAAAATTACCCCTATACAACAGTTAAGAGAAGTAGAAGGGCAAGTACAGTACATTAGGCTCCCATCAATACAATATTTGAGGGGTCAATGCAGCCTTATCTTTGCATAGAGGTTATTTTTGTGATTTTAGCACTTCGTGCAGCTCTAGGTAATGATGGGGAATTCTAATCATTGCTCCAAGTATGCCCTCCTCTATGAGAAGTAAAAAACTATTGATTATTTACAGTCCAATACCGAAACTAACAAGCCAACAGTGAAGATATTCAGCCCTTGTCCAACCAAAATTAAATGAGGAAGAAAATGGCAAGTATTGAATCCAAATTTAAGTGCAAGGTTCAAAGAAAATGAAAGTATGGAGCATGCTATGAACCCTAGGTTTAAATTGCTCCATCATAACAAATTTGTGTATATGAAAATTTACTCTGATGTATAGAAATGAACAAGGACTCTTACATAAGCATAAATTCGTAAAATGGGAAATCTGAAACCGTGGGAACATGAGAATGCAGGCATACAGACATGCTTTGTGAATGTTATGTATCGCATGGTCTAAAATGACAAAAAAAGTCATTCATTTTTCTAAATAAGATGCCTATGATGCCAAGCAAAAAAAACACACTAGCAAGAAAAGCTGAAAACAAAAGCATGCCCAGTATAATTATTTTTAGCCTTCCAAAAATTACCCAACACAAATCGCCAAGATAGCATAGAACAGATCCGCATATGCTGTGAGAGTTACGGCAGTATGATCCTCATCAATCCACATTGAAAAGTTTGGCACACAACAAACAACCAGATTTAAGTGAAAGTGTACATATGTGTCATGCATGTCAGTGTAGTATATATTTGAAGTCAAAGAGCATTAAGATTGTTCCATATTAGTGGAAGCCATGAACAAGGACTTTTAGAGTGCAGACACTAAATATGTTGCTGGCTGCATAGCAAGGAAAAGGGCTCAACGTCTGCCTTCTCAAGTCAAGTGAAGGCAACCAAGGTACACTTTTACCACTGTCCTAAGGTACAAGACATCTTTCCAATGTTGTCCATCTCACGCCCCAAAACTAAGGGGTCGGTGATACCCTTACGACTGCCCCAAAATTTACGAAATGTATCAAAACTAATATCTCTACTCCCATCTTCTTCTTTCTCCTACAACTAGGATTTCTAGAAGACTTGCTCACTTTTCCTCAAAAACTTACCTAAGTTTCCATATCTTAGCTCAAATAAAATGTTCGAACATTTTCTTTTTTTGTCTTTAACCAAAATATCTTTTTAGTCATTGTCTTCTCCATATCCTCCTATATGACCAAAATAAGACACAAGCATCCATCATACAGGCAAATATTATAGGTTCTTAGCATCTAATACACTTTGAAGTTTTGCATAACATTCCCTCTTTTTAGATTTTTATTAAGCCCAATAAGTGAAACTCCTCTAAATTTTTACAAAACTTTAAAGTGTGCTGAGTAAAACGTTAAACAACATGCTCAAGCTTAACTCAGTATCTATAATGCTTGGAATAATCAAGCTAAGCCCACTTTTTTTTTTTTTTTGAACTAATAACTAGTAACATGTGTCACCAACAATTATCATGTGGAAGAATGGACTTCACTAGCAAAAAGTACACCCATGTGACATTTTTGTTATCATCATATCAAGCTCCTTAAACTATTTTTACAAAGAAAATGTGTTTATACAAAGGAACCATCCATGTAATAGACATTGCTGATGTCTGCCTAAAGAAGCTCAAAGCCTTCCATATTTTTGTCAATTTCAATTCCATAAGGAACAGACAAAATTTATAAACATAAGTTTTCTAATATAATGAATTAATAGAAATGATTGTGGAAGCAGTATAAATAGGTTTCCTCTAGTAGCAAGGAATAACTTCATTCTCAGCATTTAGCAAATGATCACAAAAAGTAGCCATAAAGCTAATGATGATGAAGAGCAAAGACCCAACAAATAACAGTGTAAACAAGTTGGACTGTGAAAACATGAGAACCATTGCTTGTTTTTTTTAGTAGTATGGCTTTTGTTTTATTCAAGGGATTCTAAGTGCATGGCACTTGACAAAATATTTAAAGTTTTCACCAATCAAAACCTTAAAATTTGCCTAAGATTTCTGGCTAAAGCCCAATGGCAGATAATCTCACCAAGCAGTATATACAATAATTGAAGCATTTGAAGATGGTATATTTTTCATCACTTGCATTAATAAAATAGAAATCATATGAAATAGATTCTTCAAAACAAACTACAACAACATCAAGCCTTTGTCCGACTACGTGGGGTCGGCTACATGAATCCTTTTTCATAACAAACTCTAGGATGAAAATTCAATTCGGGAGTAGTCACAATGCCGCACATAAAGATTTCAGAGAAGATCATTGGTCCATGATTTAATAAAGAAGAGCACTAACCATATCATGCTGAGGAATTCCCTCAGTAATGCACACTACAAGGTCCAGTTCAGCCTCCATTGCTTCTAAAATAGCTGCTGCAGCAAACGGAGGTGGAACATAAATAACTGATGCATTGGCCTTAGTTTCAGCCTTCGCCTCTGCGACTGAGTTGAAGACAGGAAGCCCTAAGTGTTCGGTTCCCCCTTTTTTTGGCGTCACACCACCAACCTGTTCCATGCAAACGTGAAAAGCTCCATTAAATTTTCACAGCTAGAAGCTTCATGACTGGTAACAGTATGTACACAGGTTATCCGATGGGCTATTTTGGATGTTGAACATCTTACCCCCAAGCAAGTCAAACTGCCTCACTAGGCAGGTATGAACTGATCAGAGATCAAAGGCAGAAATCAGAGGTATAACAAAATCATGGCTATCCCATAGGTAAATCTAGTGATAAAAACAATTGGAAAATTGCCAATATGATATGTGATGGCATCATAATAGTTAATATTTAGCAACAACATAGAACAAAGAGGTATAATTTATCCAGCAAGTTGGCACATTTCTCCTCCTCCAAGCCAAACTAACCTAAGATTTCCATAGCAGGTTATACAATCAAAAATTGTATATAAATAAACAAACGAGGAGGTGAAAAATCAGTAATGAAGATAGTATCTTTGCTGAATCAAAGTTTCATCATTTAAACAGATCGATAAATATCTTATAACAAAATTCAGTGCCCTACTTACACAACTATAAAATTACATTGCGCTGAACCTGATCTTCTGGAAAACATTCAAGCAGACATGTCCAACTCTATAATATACTGTCAGTTAAAAAAAAAAAATCTTTTTTATGAATCCCTACTCCTTTCTTTGTGAAAAAGTAGAAAGGAACGCATCATAATTGAGAGATCTCACCATTTTGGTTCCGTACTCGATGGCCTGCTCGGTGTGAAACGTGCCGTTCTTTCCGGTAATCCCCTGGCAAATTACACGCGTGTTCTTGTCAACAAACACAGCGGGTTGAGGCGTCGATCCGAAGTGGCGAGACTGCGATAGCAAAGAGGAAAGCGATGAGGACGCCGAGTTCTGCTGCGGGGAAATCCTGTGAGCAAGAGATCGCATCAGCTTCGCCGCCTGCCGAGACATAGCTGAATCCTCCGCCGGAGCCATAGCTGAATCCTCCGCGACCCTTTGACCTCTGCAAAATCCCGTTGCCCTTTTCTCGGCGGTGGAGCGAGGAAAGAGTTTTATTTCTCTCTCCTTGCAGCGAGAGAGCTGTCCATTTGGGTTTGGGTTTGGTCGTGGGTCGGGTCTTCACCTAAGCACCGGCCCGATCAACCCGATTAAAAAATATTTGATTTTGGCAATAGGTTCTTAAGGAAAGTTCTAAAACTCCTTATTTGATGAGATAAAATTTTCAATAGTTTTATATAGATTTATACACATTAGTACTATCATTCAATTAAAATTATTATAATATCTTATTTATTTTGCTAAAAAAAATACAGTGTAAAAAACATGTTTTAAAATAAATATATCATATTTAAAATATTTTTTAATTATTTTGATTGGTAGATGTCAACGATGATGTGCCGATGGCTAGTCTTAGTGCTGGTGCCAACCAATGGTGCACAACCTGTGAGGGTGGCAGTAGCCTGAGGGGTGTGACGACGACAATGACTTATGGCCTATCATAGCGATTCTATTTGTAGCCCAACTTTAACCATATTGTTTTTATGTGCATCTAATAAGTAATATCAAGAATGATGAATTTATTGAGATTGAACAATTCATATGATAAATCATATGTTAATCAACAGGCCTTAGCTATCTTGGTCTATGATTGAATAAGATTCAAGAGCGAATAACTCTCTAATAAATTAACATGATTACAATATTAATATGTTTGTTGCGTCTTTGAATCGTGGTTGGGTCAGGCCCCGTGTTTGTTCTCCTTTTCAGGGGTTTCAACGTAAAAATTATGGTGTCTCTTATAAACGCTATAATCATAATCTATTATCTCTTTATGTATTGAATCTTAGTACAAAGTAAACCCTAAATTATATCACTCTCTACCGCCGCAAATATTCTAGGACGCAACAATGTTATACTTGAAAATGATAATATTATTAGGATATGTTAAAGAGGATCGTGAATGGTGATGAGGCAACTGGTGGCAATAGGTGACGACTACAAGTGGATAAGATGATATGATATGTCAAGAAACAATCTAAATTAGCAATTTTGAAATTCAGAAAAGAACGAATTCAATTATGAATTATAAATACATCAAAAATTAACTATTCTGATGCGGTGCATTTTAAGCTAGAATGGTTCCTTAGGAGTACCTTATCTAGTTTGTTGTCATTTCTTTCTAGAATGCTCTTTTGGTCTTATAAGTAGGAGGTCTTATAGAAGAAAAGATATTGAATGATATATTTTAGTCTTTGAAGCTTTAGAAGCTTTCTTCTTCTTCTTCCCTGGATTGGGAAACCCTAATCCTTCTTGCAGGTCGCATCTTCCAACGATCCACTACATCAGTTGGTATCAGAGCTTGGAGCTTGTGAAGATCGATAGACTGCGGAAGAAGGTCGGCGGACTGCGGAAGAAGGTCGGCTGTCGACGACGATCGAAGCCGCAAAACAAGATTGGCGGTCGACAACGATCGACGCCAAGGAAGGTGGGCTGTCGACGATGCTCGAAGCCGGATTGCCTTCTACCAAGCTCATCGAAGGAATCACTCGATCGGGTAGACAGAAACCTTGATCGGATTGGCGAAAACCTTCGGGCAATAAGGAAGATGAGAATGCCGTCGGCAACCATACCGAGATATTATTCTTCTTCGCTCTCCTTGTCCGCTCCTCGCAAACGCCATCCGTCCCGTCATTCCCCCACCGTAGTTGACGACGACCCTCCGCTCGAGCTTCCGCTCCGGTGGCGCGAACCCCCTCCGCTCAAGCACGCCAAATCCCGTTCAGATCTGCTCGCACGCCCAATGTCCTGCGTGGGAGTTTATTCCGATTTCGTTTCCGATCCCGTCCGCCATTTCGAGCATGTCCAGCAGCTCGTCGGGACACGACAGGCATCTCCTGTGCAACCACTCATCCGCGATCTGTCCCCAAACCTGGTGGCCAAGCATTCGCGAACAAACACAGAGCTTCTGTCACCTGCTCCCGCAACCAAACATCGCACGCAACCCAGTTCGCCTGTATCAGAGTATTCGAACACAGTGAGACTCAAACTTCCGAGCTCTATCGATATTCCTGCAAGCGGAACCCCAGCCGGCGAACTTCCAAACTCTGTCGACATTCTGCAGTCGGAACCCCAGCCGGCAAACCTCCAGCGAGACTCTGGTGCTGACCACGAGGATCTTCCCCGTCTCTCTCTCGACTCCGATAAGATTGCCCCGCTCGCAATGTCTCCGTGCCGAAATCGATCGATGGCTAGGGTTGCGAAGGCTAAATCGCTGGCATTCCGCCAGGCCTCTTCCAGAGGAATTTTTATTGCGTCCTCCCACCTGACGTATAGATACGTCCTCCCACCGCTAAAAAACTAGGTTTTTGCTCGGTATTGCTAGCTATTATTTGGTATTAACGAAGAATATCATCACGTGAAGACCAATACTGAGTTATACCGAGCTATACCGAGCAATACCGAGCTATACCGAGCAATACAAAAAAATTGCTAGATTTTCCTAGAGAAAACTCGGTATTGCTCGGTATAGCTCGGTATTGCTCGGTATAGCTCGGTATAACTCGATTTATGTCTTCATATGATGATATTCTTCGTTAATACCAAATAATAACTAGTAATACCGAGCAAAAACCCAATTTTTTAACGGTGGGAGGACGTATCTCTACGTCAGGTGGGAGGACGCAATAAAAATTCCTTCCAGAGGAGGATCCGACGATGGAGTGATTGTGCAATCTTCACCAACGATTGGGTCTTTGCTGGCCCCTGCATCCGGTACCGATGTGGCTTCTTTTTCACTGCCTGTTGTGATGGTGGACACACAAGAGGACGTGATTCGTCTCGTTCACGCGCTTATGGCCTGTGCTGAGGCGGTGAACCAGGAGAATTTCAAAGTGTCTGATGTTCTCGTCAGGCAGATCACGGTTCCCGCCTCTTCTCAGATCGGTGCCATTCGTAAGGTCGTCGGATACTTAGCCGAAGCCCTCGCACGCAAAATTTATCGCTTCCACCCACAACAGGACTACTCTCTCAACTCCGCCTTCTCCGATATCATCCAGATGCATTTCTACGAGAGCTATCCCTACCTCAAGTTCGCTCATTTCACAGCCGACCTTCTGCAATTCCCGGACTCCGACACGTTCGTTCTCTCCCTACATCATCTGGAGTCTCCGCTCATTGATCCACAACTGTCTCCAGATGAAACTTTAGTCGCTTATGTGAAGGATGACATGTTCTTTCCAGTGGCTGGAACGTCTTCTAACGTTCATTAATGGCCCACTATTACATCAGGAAGCTCCGCCACTGCCAGCTCGGATCATTCCGAGGACTCAAACGCCTTGAATCACCACCATCGCTGGCCGGCGGCCAGAATCTGGCAGTCGAGTCCGCTGATCACGAGCTTGGATTGCTCAGCTGAAAAGACGGGGCTTAATTCCACGCCGGAGATTGGAATTTCGGTGTCCTCTGTTGGCTCAATGAGTCCAACCATTCCGCGTGGGAATAATTCCATCTGGCATCTGGTACAGAAGATCTTAGACAGTGGATGGACAGAAGTTCCTATGGCATTAGCGGATCAGTTTGCGAAAAGGAACGATCGGCATTTGGTGGATTATGGAAATGGGAAGATTAAATTAAATGCAGACGTTATTCTTTTTATTTGGCATGTTTTCTCTGCAGGTGTGAATACGCCCTGTCTGAAGTTCGCAGACAAAACAGTTTACCTGCAATGCTCCCCAACTGCTCGATATAATGACCACAAAGGGTTCAATCCTACATTGGTGCGGCATTGTATGGTATATAATATGGGCAATGGAGAAGATAAGTGGAAGCACTTCTTGGTTGTTGTCAATGAGGAGGATCCACCGAGTATGCAGCTAACTACTTTCGAGTTCATTAAGAACCAAGAAGATATTCTAGTTGAACTTTCCAAGGGCCAAGTGATTTCCAATGGGAATTCTACCATATTTGAGCCTCTTAAGGCTTGCTCTGTTGATAAGGCAAAACCTGTGAGAGGTGGCATGATGGAGGTATTGCATGTTTGGAGAAGAAATTCAGACAAGGGTGACACTGTGGTACCCGAGGCTTCAATGGAATGGAAAGTCGCTCGTTTCGGAAATAGTGAGAACAAAATTTTCGATCCGGGAATCTGTCTTCTGCAACTTCTTTGTCAATAATGCGTCTCGACGGAGTCGAGCCATTTTTAAGCTAGGGGAGAATGATACGGTGCATTTTAAGCTAGAATGATTCCTTAGGAGTACCTTATCTAGTTTGTTGTCATTTCTTTCTAGAATGCTCTTTTGGCTTATAAGTAGGAGGTCTTGTAGAAGAAAAGATATTGAATGATATATTTTAGTCTTTGAAGCTTTTGAAGCTTTCTTCTTCCCTGGATTGGGAAACCCTAATCCTTCTTGCAGGTCGCATCTTCCGACGATCCACTACATCATTGACTATTCTATGATAACCAACCTCGCACCCATCATTGACTAACCCTACGCCGTCACCCTGTCAACCCCACTGTTTTATAAAGTGATCTATAAGATATTTATCACCAATCATTGGCTACTCTAACTTATGAGATATTCAATAAAAAAAATAATGCATATTTAATATGTAAAATATAAAATTTTAATATAAAAATATTTAAAGAAAAATTTAAAAAAAAAATATTATAACTCCTCTAAACAAGTTTCAACATTCCCATTCGGTTTTCCGAAATAGACTGCGTTTGCCGGGAGTCGAACCCGGGTCTATTGCTTGGAAGGCAATTATCCTAACCGTTGGACTACAAACGCCATTTGAATAGAAAGGCCAATTGAAATGTTTATATTAAAATAGTAATGCTCAATATCAGCACCCATTTATAAAAAAAATGAAAAGCAATCACTCAAACAAATATTAATTAAAATTAATATTCATATTATTATTATTAAAATAGTTTTTTAATTCCATCTGAATTAAATCTTGGCCTTTCATTTCTAATATCAAAA